GCACAAAATCCTATACTCACACGATTTTTTTTCACTTTGCTTCTTTCCACTCGTTTTTCAGATGTGTGAGCCAATGTTTTTTGTGGAAGGCTTTTCCATAATAAGCCCGATTCGTCCATGTTATATATATTATTTACATCTATATTTTCTTGTTCTATTTTTCTCGTCAGTTCTTCAATAAACTGTTCTGCAGCGATTTCATCGGCGTCAGCTCGCTTACCATGAATATGAACCAAACGAAAATTGTATCTTTTTTTAAATCGCCATAACCAACCATAGCTCGCAGTAAATTTTTCTGGAATCCCAAGTTCCTGATGCAACTCTAATGCTTTTTGTTGTATGAGATTGTCTGTTATTATGTCTCCTAACACACGTCTTTCCAAGATNCATGTATTTAAGCGAATGTTAATTTCTTCAACACGAGACGTACTGCTTCTTTTCCTTTTTTTTGATATTNCACTCTCAGCAAGTTGTCGAATGCGCACTGCATTTATACGATAATTCCGAATGCTTCTTTTGCTTAAGCCATATTTGTCGGCTAAAGAATTTACACTATTACCATCTTGTAATTTTTTAATAATTTCTAATTTTTCTTTCACTGTAGGATCATTTCTTGAGTCATACATTTCACTTCGCGTATGTATGTACACGTAAATGTAAACTCGAATATTTAGAGAATATTAAAACTTGAATATTAAAACGATGTGACTGCATAGGCAGTTCAGACTCGACTGACTGCAAAGTTACATTTTTGTTTTCAACGAAAGAAAGAACACAAAAGAGAAAGCGGGAAAGAGCAAAAGCGAAAANCTGCGAGAGCCTAATTCGGGGAATCTAAGATAATAGGCGGCATTTCTTGGTATAGTACCTGCCTCACAGATTTGCCGCGCGCGGAACCGAAGCGCGGCAAATCTGTGAGGCACTACTGTACTCGCTTTTCCTGTTCGGTCTGAAATTCGACAATCCAAACGATTCTTAATTTGACATCGATCTCGGCACGTAAATCCGAGTGAACAGTGCGACTTGTGACAACTTCCATCGGAGGAGACGACCAATTCATNCCACCTGAGTCCAGCTGACAGACTCCTGACTTTTGGGCGAAGCGAATCAATCACTCATCTCGACATTCTACCGTAAACAATAAGTAGTGAGTACTTACTAATGCAATAGTTTTGCAAAACAAATCTAAGGTTCCCACGCACACAGTAAAACCTTCTTCGAGACGGTTGATATTCGGAAGAAAATGATTAAATTTGACAATTCAATTAATAACTGCTTCATTTAGTAAGTTCTTCTCCTCGACATCCTAACCGGACTAGCGTTTCGCGGTGTCAAACCGTTCTTTTTCCGTCAGATTAGCGACTCACGACCTTGCTTGTCGTTCCGAGCCGCTGCTGACTTCTGATTCTGTCAGATTAGCGACTCACGACCTTGCTTGTCGTTCTGAGCCGCTGCTGACTTCTGATTCTGTTAGACTAGCGACTCACGACTTTGCTAGTCGTTTCGAGCCGCTGTTGACTTTTCATTCCTGTCAGACTAGCGACTCACGACTTTGTGTGTCGTTCCGGGCCGCTGCTGACTTCCATTTCTATCGGATTAGTGTTTTACGACGTCAGTTGTTCTGAACCGCTGCCGATTTCCAATCACCACTGTCAAACTTTGAGCAGTAGCAAATCATATGAGGTCGTCATACTGCTCCGAAAATCAACCGTGATTCTAACAACGCAATATCCGAAACCGAACTTTGCGGCGGAGAACCGCTGCCCGTCGAGCGAGCGGACCAAAGCGTACCAACCCCCGTCTATCCGGCAATAGCCTAAATAGTAACGGTGCTCATTTACATAAGGATGTAAAATATTGAAAATACTAACAGTGATGTTAATAACGAACTCCCAGGATCAAAAATAATAACAATGCCAATGTATATTCAAATTCACACCGAACTTCATCACACGTCCAATTATTTAATTCAACTTGCGTAAGAATATTTTTTGAATAAATCTAAATGTTAATACTTTGAATAAAAATGATTTATATGTTCATAAGAATAAAAACGGCTTCAACTAATTAAATGAACTTTTGAACATCTATCCTAAAAACTCATTCCTGTAATCTCATCACGTGATCACCAGGTTCTGTCCCAGGTAAATTAGATTTGTTTCTAAGACCTAAAAAAAGACGGACGAATGAGAAGACGTTAGACAAGTAATATCGGCAAGTCCGTTGACTTGACTACGTCGTTGAACAGTCTCGCTCGACTCGCATGCTTGCCTTATCTCATTAGGTCAGTGTGCCGAGATATAATACACAAAAGTATCGTGTGTCAAGTTGCGTTCCTCCGTTAGGACCCGATCGTAACCGTAGGACGTAACATCATTAATGAAGTGAAGTACATATACGAAAATTGTTTAAAGGCATTGGATATATTGTTCAAAATTTTTCACGTTATGCGTATTCAGTATCCTCCGCAAAGCAAACATATTTATGAAGCCATCGAAGTGATAATCTTTAAAAGCCAAAAAAAGATTTAAAAAGATACACTTTTATTTAAGATATTATTGAAAATATAAAATTTGATTAAAGAATCTTTTAAGAGGGTCCTGGAGTAAGACCCGAAGTCCGCACTGGGGTCCCTGCCCGGAAAGTGGCGCCCTCAGTGGTTAAGTTATTCCGTCCTTCTTTTAAAGTGAGACGGCCTAATCGCGCTGTCTCGCGTCACCGGTCTTT